CACACTGTCAGTAGCACAGGCTGAAATACATAGTCTAACACACACTGTCAGTAGAACAGGCTGCAATACATAGTCTAACACATACTGTCAGTAGCACAGGCTGCAATACATCTAGTTAGCCACAAATAATAACTGACTCAGCCAAAATAATTCAATATAGATATTCAACATGACAATGACCATTAAAATCTAGTTATTGAGGTGGTCTGAGGCGTCGTCAGGCACTGGCACACGGGGCCTGTACCCCACTTCTATTTAACCGTGCCACGAATCCCCAGTTGGTTTATTAAAAAATCTGAATAGAAAACCTTGATCATTATGATACTGAAAGACCGACAATACTTGTGCCTATGGGTCCGAGCCCCGATTCTTTTATGTGCCTAACGATGCCTTTGGAGATGGTTATGAATTAACGGTGTACAAGTTATGTTGTCCAATGTTTTGAAGACGATCTAGTTTAATCCACAAAACTAGTTTTACCTATCGGTTTATAATCCATATTCCTGCTTAAGAACGTATCAAATTCTAACCAAGCTCCATGTATTACCTTATTATATGAGAGAAAACAGTTTGAAAAGTAATATTGAAAGTATTTAATTATATTTATCCTAAAACATTGGTATTAGGCCTATTATATTTTAAAACACTGCATTCTTTATCTAGTTCTTTAGGGATTTTCAAGAATTAGAAAAGTGTATAATAATAATAGTATTCCAACCACACTATGTTCGCCATTGCCGGCGACGCGTTTGGTTCAATCCAGAACTCATCAGGCCTTGCAGGGATGCAAAAAAATTAACAAATATATTAGCGGTAGAAACACTGTTTATATATCAACAGTTCCCTAAGGGAATGGATAAATAATCTAGTGTTTAAAAACATAACAGGCCTAATATATGATAACTATAATTAAACATAATAATGGTTCGCCAGTTTTGAAAAGGCGTTTACGCCGTAACAAGTGTTAGTATTTGTTTGTCTCGACAAAAATGTTTGGAAATTGAGACTGAAGGGTGGTGTTAGTATTTGTTTGTTTCGTGATCGTGTTACCCACTTCGAACGAATGATATCGATTGATACGTTGTCTAGACGTATGAAAATGAGAAAAAAAATCGTTATATTCATACTGAAATTGTTTTCCCCAACCTGTATACAACTTACACAATCTTGGGAGAAGTGTAAAAGACCGTTCTTGATTAGGACTGACTTTTCAGGTTAGTTCAACGCCAGCAACAATGAGTTAATGCGGGTTATGTCCCACAACTTACACGTTGTTCAACTGAACTACGTATAAACGCGAAAACCTTTTTTTTCTTCCAAATCACCAGGCATATTTTCACAGTAAATGTGAAAATAGGGGCTACCTGGTGTTGAATGGTAGGACTGTGGACGCCAAGAATCATTATTTCACAGAAAAGCCAAATCTATTTACGCTTCAGACCTTCCTCAGACACCATTCAGATCCTACGGTGAAGGTCTGCCTTTCTGGTGCTTGTCTTCACTTCTTTGTTATAAACTTGAATAGCCCAGTAACGTGAGAACTAGTCAGCATGGCTCGTGGGAATGTTT